CGAGGCTCTCCTCCCATTGGCTGGCGGGGCGAGGGGCTGCTCCCTCTCTCCACAACTCTCTCCGGGTCTCTCCCTGGGTCTGCGCCCGACTCGCCCACCGCGCGCTCTCGCAGAAGAGACTTTGCTCTGTGTGGGACCCTCTTCTGCGCGCGGCGCTCCTGGGGCGCACGGCGGGCTTCCTCTGCTGATAACCAGTCGCTTGCGGGGAACACGGGCTCTGGGAGCCGGCCCTTAGCATGGAATAATCTTTCCAGACTGGCTGACTCGCAATAAGTAGCATCCCGTATTCATCCATCCGGTAATGCGTGTGATTAATGCGTACCGACCTCGTGCTTACGGCAGTTTTCAGAATAACGAGGGATTTTCAAGGGTAGTTTCGGCGTAAATGTGGAGTGGAAACCTAACTGAAATTGGCACAAGGAAGACTGGAAGGGGAAAAACTCGAGGAGACTACCATTTCAAAGTTTTGCCCAAAAGGCAGGAGAGAAATAAGACAGTATCATGGAGGGTAGCGTGGGAAGAGACCCAAGAGATGTTTTGTTTTTAACAGCATACTTGACTGTTGATAGAAAAGGTCCAGTAAAGAAGGGAAAATCGATGTCCCAGGAGAGGGGAGTTGCTGGAATGAGGTAGACATGTGGGCAAGAAGCAGGGAGAAGCAGGTCAGAGTACCTGGGTCTCCTTAGCAGAGCTCACTGTTCTGAGCCTAGGCTGACACACTCAAGACACCTGCCATCCTCCTTCACCTCTGGGTCTAAAACAAAAACAAAGAAATGCTTGAGCAAGCTAGAACTCAAGCACCTTCAAATAGCAGGAGCAAACACCCCAGTATAAAGATCTGCACTGGAAACAATAAATAAATAAATAAATAACTCCCCAACTGTGACCCCATCTCAAGTACAATGTGCCCAGCACTACATCTAGTACTTAAAAATAGCCTAGAGTGGACGTGGACAAGGCTACAAGAAACACTAAGATCTCAGAGCGGGCTTAGAGGAGGGGGATCATTGTGAATCCCATCACACAACTCTGGCACCCACAGCACAGAATGAAGTTTGAATTCCTGTATTTACAGGAGGTGATCCTCTGGTGCCCTACTGCCCTGGTCCTCTTTTCTACCTACTACCCTTTGAACAGGTGCAAAGACAACAGTCTGAACATCTATGCCTATTACAATACATAAAATATTAAAAATGAGGAGACAGAAGACCTTACCACAAATGTTGGAACAACAACAACAACAACAAAAAAAAAACCCTTAGTGGTGCCCCAGCCCAGCAGGACTGCAGAACATGACAGGTAACAGTTCTAATGCTGATGGAATGCAAAAAAAAAAAAAAAAGTGGGGAAATAAAACAGCAGAAGAAAGATAAAGAAAATATGAGGCAGTAACAATTAGAAACTGGAGACACTATAGTGGATTTAAATCCTCACACATAGGACTGTACTGCTATTCTCCATGTTCTTAGCCCATAAGGAAAGGCTGGAGAGAGGACCAACACCAGGTAGCTAAGTGCTCTGAACTGAAGCTTGCTCTCCACAATCCCTAGATGTCTAAAAGCAGCAGCAGAAAATAGAAGAGCTCTTTCAGGTGGTGATTTTGGAGACTCTTCCTCCCATCCACACACAACTTTAACAGAGAGCTACTGGCCTTTTCTGTGAATGATCTGATGAAATGGGAGCCTTGCTTTCTTTTTATGAAAAAGGCCTGATGGAGTATTCACCAACCCAGAGACAGAAAAGATATTATCTGTGTCTGGGGTGAAGAGTTTTAAGGATTAGTGTTCTAAATTCATTACAACCAGTTGTTGGAAACAAAGTCCTGGCTTCCCTTTCCTCTCAAAATATGCTGAAACAAGTTGAGGGACTCCAGGAGACTCAGTTACACCGCTGAATTCTCTGATACACAGTAGTTTGATCTCAAAGTGAAATCATGGCTAAATTGCTTTCAGATTCTGTGAGCACAAAAGGAAAAAATTACCTAAACTTTTTTCTTTGAGATTTGTTTTTACATAATAGAAGAACCTTAAATGTTATATATAGCCACCAAGGCCTGAAGAAGTTGTGTTCTTTTGAGTAAACACTGTTTTTACATGAATGCCTTTGGTAAGGTTAGTGCAAGCCCTGCAAACTCCATATCTAAATCCTTAGACTCCTATCAACAAAGACTTTTCTAACTGGTTTGGATGGGTGGGATCCTTATTTGTTCCAGTGTAACTATTATTCTATGTTTGCTTTTTCTGATCTTGGGCACTTGTCTCCTGAGTTAATTCGTTCCCTCTACCTCCAAAAGGCTGGAGACATTAAAACTTCAGATTATTGTAGTCCAAGGATAAAAACAATTGGGATTACAACCCAGTGACACCCAGGCATATCTCTAGTTAAGAAAAAATTCTGCTCCTCAGTGGGCCTCCAAATCTCCAACTATATTTGGCAGGAAGCGGTATCAGAAGGTGGATCTCTGTCCATTGCCCCTCAAGAATGAGAAACAGGACATAGAATGTCACCAGGCCCAGTAACCTTAAGTACCTTTTCCTTGCTTTGTTCATTTTGCCTTGCTCCTGGCTTTTCCTTTTAGCAGACACCCCTGGTCCTCGCTGTTACTGAAGACAAAACTACAGAAAGCCAGGAGGCAAAAGTGATTGAGACCAAGATGGAGGTAGAAGACAAGGGTTAAGCCACAACCTTACTACCATGGGAAAAAGCATGCCCACCAGACCCATGACAGATTCATTTTATCTAGGCCAAAGTCGGAAAAAAACAAGCTTGAATGCTGCTTCTCTAGAAACCCACAAGACTTCTCTAAAATCCTGAGGACACAGGCTCTACCCCTTCTTAGCATTCTCCCCTATAAGTTCCTGCTTCTTCCCAGCCCAGGGAGAAGAACTATAGAGCATGAGTCCCATTCTCCTTTCCTTGGTCAATGAATACAACCCTCTGCTGCTTAAATCTCTATTCAAGTGTGGTTCTAGGGCTTGCTCAGATGTTAGATGATTAAAATAGCTCAACTGATTGAGAATAAAAGCACACTTTAAATGAGGATATCAATTAAATAATGACACCAATAGCTAACATTCCATGTTTTTATGTGCCAGGAAGGTTGAAAAGCAAATTACATGGATTATCCCACTTGTTCCATGACAAATAGGACTAATATTCTACAAGTTGAAAGCAGCCTGGCAGAGCTGCCCACCTCCAGTGCATGTTCTTACTAGTCAGTGTTTGCATTCGGGATTTTAACTATAAGTAACCATATAAAAATCTTCATCTTACAGATGAGGAAACCAGAGTGAAAGAGATTAAATAAGGTGCCTAACATCACCTAACAGGTAACAAGGACAAATTTTAAAGTCTATACCATGCCCTCTCTGAGTGTTTAGACCAGGGAGGGGTCCATGCACAATGGTTTTCCAAATATGGCTTTCAGAGTTGTAATCAGTTCAGGTGCTCATTTAATGGTGGAGATCAGAGAGGTAGACCTGAACCACCCACCTCTGCTCCATAGTGAACTGTAAATACAAAGTTAACATTTGTAGAGTACTTCCTATATGCCAGCACCGGTTTAACCATTTTAACTGCACTCAGTTCTAACAACAATCCTGTGAAATATTTACCACTATTATGCCTATTTTAAAGGTGGGAAGCTGACACAAAAAGATTAAGCCTTTGTCGTGGTCACATCATCTAGTAATGATACTAGAATTCAGCGAGTTCCTTGCTTTTAAAGACTACCTGAACAAAGTTTCCTTGCCTAATAAAATGTATGCTGCTGCTCCAGCTCAAGTTGAGGGCATATGCTTAAGGAAATGAAAAAATTTTCCCAAGAAACACTCAATTAGACAAGGGAAAAAGCACGGGTACTTGAATCTCTTTCTGCAGTTCTCAGAACCCCAGATGGGGCTCTTTCCCAAGGTGCCACCTGGGGGCCACCTAGTCGATCATCTCTGCCTGGGTCTCCACAGGCGCCTAGGACTTAACAGGGAGGTAGATGGGGAGAAAAGGCCAACCAGACCCGCGCATCAGCAGGAGCGAAGTGGGTTCACTAAACCTTAAGCTGGAATTTGCAAAGCCTCTTCCTGGTTGCGTGGCTCCAATCTCGAGTTTAGGGACGGAGTTAGGGCGGGTTAGTGGGGTGTCTGTTGTGCCGAGGGAGCGGGACATTGGGCACTACTACCCGGGTCCCGCAAAGGCTGGCCTGGCCGACAGCCAGGGTTCCCGTGGGGCAAGTCCTGCGCTGAAGGGTTGAGGGGGCCAACTCTATGGGACCGGCTGCTCATTTCTCCGAATCACCAGCCCCGCTCCTTCCCAAGGGCCCTAAAACCACCTAGAACAGTCCTTCTACCAAGACGTTAGTTTCGGCTCGGAAAGCCCAGGCGCACGGCCCTTCGCCCTCAGCGGGGCGGCGCCGAGCTGCGCCGCCTGCGCCGGGCCAATCCCGGAGCACATCCTCCTGCGGGCGCCTTCCAGCGCCGCCCACGCCGTCGCTATGGAAACGCTCCGAGTGTCTACTCCGAGCCCCGGGGCTTCTGTTTCGGTGTAGCGGGGCTGCGGCCATTGTTTGTGTAGACGGAGGGCTCGTGCTGGCCGCGCCTCGCAGGCTGCGGACGCGCCGCGGACTCCCCGGAGCGCCGAGGCGGAGCGGGCAGGGCCGGGCGCTGGGGCCGCGGGGAAAGTGGCCGCAGAGGGAGGGTCAGGGGCTGAGCCGCAGCTCGGGCTTAGAAATCCCGGAGACACCCGGGTCGGAGGGCTCTTCACGGCTGCCCTGCGCCTGCTGAAGCCGCATGAGAGGAAGGAGAAGGGCGGACAGCTGGCCCTCGGGCCCCGAGCCGGGGCTCCCTGGTGGGAAGGCTGCGCGCGCGGGCGCGGGGCTGGCTGGCGGCTGGAGGCCGCGCGCGACTTTGCTGCAGGAGCGAGGCCGCGAGATCCGCGCCCCAGAAGGGGAGCGGATCCAGTTCCCCCGGGACCACTAGTTCGTTGGAATTCGGGACGTAAGTTCCTGCAGTCCTTGGCGCACGGGGAGCCCAAACGTGTTCTCTGGGGACACCGTGAGCCGTCTTTTTCTCTCCCGAGATAGAGGGCTCGCAACTGCTTATCCTTTTCCCCAGGGACCTGTGTCCTGCATGGCAGGACCCGGGTGGTAAAGGCTCATGCCCCCATTTTACAGGTGAGGATAGTGAGGTTCTGGGAGGTCTAGAAGTTTTGCAAAGTTCTACAGGTAGTTGGTGACAGAATTGAGACTCTGATCAGGTCCTTAGAGCCCTAGGTCTTGATTCCTCTAAGACTGGGGGTGCTATGATAGTAAATCCAGTATTTCTGTGGTAACGAGTAGGGGAGGACAATGAAATTAACTAAACAGAATAAAAAGCATGCTTGAAGAATGGAAAGAAACTAGGTGTCCTATTATTTCTATTCTTGTTACTATTAATAAGCCAGGAAAACCTTGAGACTCGGGTTAAATTACGTAGAGAGACGCTGCATCCCTGGAGCAGAACTGTAAGATCAGATTCTGTCCCGTCAGACCCAGACTTGACTTGTACCTTTGAAATTTCTTAGAGGGTCAGAAATAAGATCCAGGATGCCAATCCTCATAAATCTTCCATTCGGTCTTTGAAAAGAAACAAATATGGGGGGGGTGCTTTTAGGAGATTTGGCGAGTGTAGTTAGTTTGGGAATTTCTGGTCATGCCCTGTCTTTTATCCCCTCTTTCTTCTGCCTCAGCTTATCCACCTCAACACTCAAACTTGCCCTCAAAGAGGAAGGAATGTTCACTATTTTCCTCATAGTCTGATTCCAGGTAAGATTGTCTTTTTTCATTTATAAAATGCCTGGAATTCTCCCTGGGTAGTGGGAGCAGTGGAAGGGGCGGGGGGATGTATGGAGCAGACTGAATAGAAATGCTCCTCACTTACCGGGAAGCTTCCAAAGCCTCCTGAATAACTGCTGCTGTCTTCCACTCCTGTGTTTTCCCAACACTTGATCATTATTCATCCATTCATTCATGTCTGCTATATCATGTGAACTGTTCTTGGTGCTCTGAGATAAAGAAATGTAAAGTTGTCTTTCCTTAACGTTGGGGAAATAAGCCATAGGATGCTAACAATTTCTAAAGTTTTACACATTAAACAGTGCCAGAATGAACGGCACTTAAAAGACAGGGAAAGGAACTTAGATATAAATAATTATTATGAATACAAAGATATCATTCCAGACAAGAAGACCATCATTTAGTCTCAGGCAGAATTTGAGGCAGTAAACTAGTTGCAGTAGAGCAGAAGTATGAATGCATAAGGTGAGGCCACATTGTGGAGGGTTATTAATGTTTAATTGGTTACTTATTCTTGAGCACTGTTCAGTCCCCTGCATATCAACCAGATATTGACATTAGGATGTATTGACTTACCTTAATGTACTTAAGTTTGTTTATTTAATATACAGACATTAATCCATACATTGTATACCGACATAAACATATACATGTGTACTAATATACACACATGGGTTTATGTAAGATACTTACATATAGAGAAATTAGTATATATAAAAATTTTGAATCATGACAAATAAATACACTCCTTGAAGGCAGAGAATGTTCCCAGTATACAGAAATTGTGCCTTGCATGTATTAAGCACTTAATGCATGTATTAAGCACTCAGTATTTGTTGCATATATGAATGGCAGTTATACGTATATTTTTTTCATTTGACATATAATGAATGTTTTTCCAAGTTTTAATGACTACACAATTTTCCATTCCACGTATATTACATGCTTTATTTAAATTTCCTTTTATTGGGAAAAATATAAGTATTAACTAACAATAGTGTCGTGTTTTAAAGATTTATTTATGCATATAAGAACTGAGGGGGGAGGGTGAGAGGATTCACCAAAGACAGAGTGGGGAGCAGAACAGGCAGATCTACTAAAATAAGCTGCTAAGAGGAGCAGCAGGCAAGACAGGAGAGGTCTACTGTGCAACAATAGTGTGATAGTGTGAGACTTCACCCCTGCGCCACCAGGGAGGCCCCGAACTAACAACTTCTAATAAATGTTCTTATGCATCATTTCTTAAGTCTGTCTCTCTTTATTTCCTTAAGTTATACTCTGGAAAATAGGATAACAGAGTCAAAGTATACAGATATATTTTAAGTTTTGAAAAACAAGTTCTTTTTTAGAAGTATTGCATGAACTAGGAATCCAAGAATGAACCCAAGTATAGCAAAAAATTCTAAACATGATAACATTTTAGTATGCCATTGATTTAGTCTTCCCTCATTTTCCCTTTTTTACAATTTTCCTTTTTCTTGCAAAAACACTTGAAAATTAATTTTATCAGCATCCCTAAATTTATGTCTTAAAGTACATTAAATATATATGTTTAGTGAAAATCAAATTACATTTATTTTTCCTAGCTGACTTTGAGATAAGTGTTTTACTATTTTTTCAACCCATTTTTATCCCTCAGAATTCTAAAAAAATATATAGGTTCTAAGTATTTCTGTTAAGCTTATTTTTAGGAATTTATTTTTTAATTGTTATTACAAATGCACTTTTTAAAAAAAAAAAAAGATTTATTTATTTATTTATTTATTTATTTATTTATTTATTTATATAAGCACTGGGTACAGTCAGAAGCGCGGGAGGGTGAGAGAATTCACCAGAGCCAGAGCGGGGAGCAGAGCAGGCAGAAGGACCAAAGTACACTGCTGAGGGGAGCAGTGGGCGGCAGGAGAGGTCTGCGCGCCATGTGGGACCCTCCTCTGGTGGCCGGGGAGCAGCCGGGGATCGAACCAGCATTGCAGAGGCTGTGGGCAGCTTCGCAACCCAGCGCTCAACCGCTGCGCCACCGGGGAGGCCTACAGTTTGTTCTTATATAGCTAATCTGTTTTTACAACATCATCTAGTAAATAACCCATTCTATCCTCATTGATTTGCAGTGCCACCTTTATTCTTAATGTTTTTATTTATAAGTAAGTCCATTGGCTTGTTATTGAGTCCTACCTTCTCTTCTATTGGTTTGTCTATTTTAATTTTAGTACTGTTCTTTGTTTGTATGTCAGTATCTTATAGGGCAAGTGAGCCTGCTTGGTTTATTGAAGTCTTTTTGGATTTCTTTTTCATCCCTGTAAATTGTAGTGGGGGAAAGTACATTATATTTCTCAAAAAATCTAGCTGGAAGTTTGAAGGTTATTGAATTTGTCTTCTCATCTGAGAACATGGAAGCATGCATCTCCTTGTATTCAGATAATTGCCTTTCTTTATTGGAATTTGAAATTTGTCTTCAAAGTTCTTTATTCAGATTCTTGGTTAAGTGGGGTTTTTTTGTTTTTCATTTTGCTGTTTTGAATGGTACCTTATTTTCTAGCAGTTGATGGCTGATATAGAGTTATGCTGTTGCTTTATTGTATTTGGTAATTTTGCTGAACTCATTAATTTATGATTTATGTGTATAGTCTTGGTTTTTCTGGGTGCATGACTATAACATAATGACATTTTTTTCTTCATCTAATCCTTATGCCTCTTCTTTCTTTTCTTATATTTGTTAAAATTTGGTAGTACTGTGTTGAATGTAGCAGTGATGGTTGTCATTCTTATCTTGTTAACCACAGTAAAGGGAATACGTATAAAGTTTCTCTATTAAGCTTAAAGTTTGATGTATGCTCTTAATATAGAATATTTATAAATTTAGAGTTTCTTTTTATTCCCAATTTTCCACAATTTTTTTAAGATTATATATAAGTATCAAATGTTATGAACTTTATCACATAATTTTTCTGCATCTGTTGAGATAATCATTTTCTTCTGTAGCATATTAATATTATAGTGAATTATGCTGATCAATTTTTTGTTGAATATCTTTTATTGCTGTAATAAAACATGCTTAATCATGATACATGTTTTCAATATATTATTCAATTCAGTGAACTGTTATTTAGGATTTCTGGATGACTATAATATTTATGAATGGGCTTAAAATTTTATATTTTGTATTGTTCTTATGTAGTCTTGAAATCAAGATTTATGTTACCTGCTAAATGTCTTATTTTTTTATTCCTTTGTCTATCCTCTCACTTAGATTTCTTCTCCTGGAAAGTCTGATTTTTGACCAGATGGCTGTAACATTTGAAGATGTGACTGTCATTTTTACTTGGGAGGAGTGGAAATTCCTGGATTCTTCTCAAAGAAAGCTCTACAGAGAAGTCATGTGGGAGAACTACACAAATGTCACGTCAGTAGGTAAAGTAAGGCCAGCTGTTGAGGAATAGAGTTAGTTTCTTCTGGAACCAATTTTGTTGAATATTTTGGTTCTTTTATCTAGGTGTTATATTGAGATGGAAGAAATATTCTCAAAAATCTGTCTTAAGTCAGATGACAAATAGAAGAAAAACAAAACAAGACATCTTCCAAGACACTAGGCATGTCATTAATAGGTATTTGTGATTATTCTTACTTGTTTTCAGGATTACACTTCAAAGTATAGATATCCTCACATAGTCAATTTTGTGTGGTCCTAAATTTGCTCTTTCTAAATACTATTTGTACAAATTAGCTTTTGCTGTATAACTACCCCAAACTTAGTGACTTAAGGCAAACTTTATTATTTTTCATAATTCTAATTATTTAGATGGGTCATCTGTCATGGAGCAACTGGATAGGGCTGGATAGTCTAAGAGGAAATAGGACAACCTGACTCTCACACATCTGGCAATTGATCAGTATCAGTAGGGATAATGGAGATGTGTTAACCATATGTCCCTCTTCAAGAAGCCAGCCCAGGCTCCTTTACATAGTGGTGGTCACAGAATTTTCAAAACCACAAAAAGGGGGCAAGCACACACACTTTCCTTTCCAAGTTTCTGGTAGTACCACTTTTGCTACTTTCCTAGTGACCAAAGCAATAGAGTCAATGTGGAAGTGGAACACCTAAAGATGGAGATCAAGTTGAGAGTTATTGCAGCCATTTTTTCCCCACACAGTCAACCACATTATTATAGACCAAAATAATAGCTATATTTTATTCTTTAATAATGCCTCAAATAGAATAATCCAATTAAATCCATCTTTAAAACTATTTCTGAGATACTATTTCTAGCAGTGCCTGGTAAGTAGTAGATGGTCAAGATATGTCTGTGAAATGAATAAGTGAGTGAAAGTATACATATATGAATGAACAAACAAATGAATTTCACCCAAATATGGAGTAGTCTAAGTCATAACCCTTCTTTCCCATTCCCAAATATATATTCCTATAATTATGACTGAGATGCTTGGACATTTTAAAACTTAACCTTCATCTCACCAATGGATTATGTGCTTATTCTTCTAGAAAACTGGAAAGAGAGCTACCAAACCGAAGCAGGATTTGGATATCTACAACATGAAAATCTTTCCTGCTGGCAAGCTTGGAGGAATGCTGACAGTCAGATATATGAGAATCAAAACTATATGGAAACCATTCTAGAAAAAGATTCCAAAGACCTAAAGCAGCAAGAACTTTCCCATCGTCAAGAATGGTTAATACTCTCCACACAAATGCCGGAGTATGGGAACTATGAACTGACTTTTGAAAGCAAAAATTCCAGGAACTTAAAATATACAAAGTTTACACCTGGGCAGTCTTTAGAAACAAAACATACTCAAGACTCTGGTAGAGAAATCTATGTAAATGATTTACATGATTTTCAAGGAAGCAGATACCATCTTGATATAGCCAGGAAAAATCTCTCCATAGGAAAAGAAAAGAAGCCCAGAGTTCAGCATTCCCATGTCCCAAAAGAAGAAGCCCTTCCAGAGTACATTGGGGAGATACATCAAGATGATCTCCTGAAACACTCTATGGAAGAGAAATGCTGTGGGTGTAGTAAATGTAAAGAAACTTATTTTTGGAATTCACAGTGTCTTTTCCACAAAACAAATGAATTTGGAGAAAAGTTCTATCAATGCTCCATCAGTGCAGCATGCTTCTCTCAGAGACCAGACCTATGTAGACACCCAAGAATCCACATAGGTAAGAAACTATATGAATGTGAAGTTGGTGATAATTTTAGTCAAAGCTTAGGTGTTCACTTTCATCAGAGAGTTCACACAGCAAAAGTACCTTTTATATGTAACATGTGTGGTAAGAACTTCAGTCAGATCTCAAATCTTCACAATCATCAAAGAGTCCATACAGAAGAGAAACTCTATAAATTTCAGTGTGATAAAGACCTCAGTAGAAATTCCTTACTTCATATTCACCAGAGACTTCACTTAGGAGAGAAACCTTTTAAGTGCGATCAGTGTGGTAAGAGTTTTAGTCGGAGTTCAGTACTTCATGTTCACCAGAGAGTCCACACAGGAGAGAAGCCATATAAGTGTGATTTGTGTGGTAAGGGCTTCAGTCAGAGCTCAAATCTTCGAATTCATCATTTAGTTCATACAGGAGAGAAGTCTTACAAATGTGAAGACTGTGGTAAGGGCTTTACCCAGCGCTCAAATCTTCAAATTCATCAGAGAGTGCATACAGGAGAGAAGCCTTATAAATGTGATGACTGTGGAAAGGACTTTAGTCACAGCTCAGATCTTCGCATTCATCAGAGGGTCCATACAGGAGAGAAACCCTATACTTGTCATGAATGTGGGAAAGGCTTCAGCAAGAGTTCAAAGCTTCACACTCATGAGAGAGTACATACTGGAGAGAAACCCTATAAATGTGAACAATGTGGTAAGGGATTCAGTCAGCGTTCACATCTTCTCATTCACCAGAGAGTCCATACAGGAGAAAAACCTTATAAATGTGATGATTGTGGAAAGGGATTTAGTCACAGCTCTAATCTTCACATTCATCAGAGGGTCCATACAGGAGAGAAGCCTTATCGATGTGCAAAGTGTGGTAAGGGTTTCAGTCATAGTTCAGCTCTTCGAATTCATCAACGAGTCCACACAGGAGAGAAACCTCGTAAATGCCATGAGTATTATAAGGGATTTGATCAGAATTCACATCTTCATAATAGTCACAGAAGAGAAACCTTATAATTCTATTAACAGCTTTCATTAATCTTAACCATAACCTGAATTCCAATAAATGATGTTTGGAAGAAATTCTATTAACAACCTAAGTAGCCCCAAGCAACGTTTTACAGTTTCTCCCTAACTCCCACTAAGAATCCTGTTCCTCAAGAGGAGCTCCTTAGGATTCCTATATATTTAAAATTAAAGTGTATTTTCTTTTTCTACTAAAATATCATTATAAAATTTATACAGGATTTAAGGAGGGAACTCTTTATCCTGTTTCAATCTATTCTTTGTGTGTGCATGAAATCATACTATATGTTTAACTTTGTATTTTTACTGACTTCAAATTTTGGTCTGAATTGAAATTGGGTAACTATGAAACAACATCTCTAGAAAGCCACAGGGGGAAAAAAAAAAAAAAGGAACCAAGATTGAAACTCAAACTGGTAGATAAATTATTGCTCAAATGTTGGAGAATTACCTTTTGAGCAAGTAGAATTCAATTACTTATGATAAAAGATAGGAAAATATTGAATAACCATGTATCTGAGATAGGATGGCTTAGAGATGTTATCTCCCAACCAGAAAACTCAGGGACCATCCTTTTGTTGCAGGCGTACTACACTTCATGTGACCATTATGCACTTACCCTCTCCCACTTTTCCACATTTGTTCATGGATTCAGACACCAAGTAACAAGAAGTACAAAATCTACTTTTTCTCCATAAGATGTAAAAGATGTGGACAAAAGTTAATAAGGGTAAATGCTAGAAACTGAAAATACTCCATTTGTTTATAATTAGAAATCCAAGCAGACATTGATCTAATTGCTGTAGAGTGTTTCTGTCTGCTAGAAACAAAATTGAAACTCAGAGCCATGTGCAAAAAATGCACTCACAAGATTATTATGTAAGGAGAATTTGGCCATTATAAAAATGGAATAGAGTCAACAGGAATAAACAAGTCTTAACTACTGATATACAAATATGTTTAGGTATCTCTTACCAAGAAAATAAGTTTGTATTTGTTTAAGGAAATAAGAGGAATTTGTGATACCAAACAAAGGGATATCATTGTAAAGACTTAGATCTATACCTCTGAAAATTAGCTATTTGTTTCCTGAAAAAATTAAAAAAAATTGGTGTCCTCAATAGCATAACAGAAAGCTTGAAATCAATAGAACTAGAGTAGAAGTCTATAAGTAGAGTCTCTAAGATAAAAAAAAAATGTAATGAAGAGGGGATGACAGGAAAATTTTAAATGCACTATCAAAGTAAGACAGTAAGGAGTAGAATTGGTAATGCAGAATATCAAATACTATAATACACTTGAGATGACTTTATTAAGGATAATAAGGTGAAAACAATAAAACAAGACATATAAGGTACAGAGAATGGAAATTCATAAAAGAAAATACTTGGAATAGAATCAATGATCAGAAAAATTAAGACTTTTTTTCCTGAGCTAAAAGTGTATGCCCACTAGATTTTAGACAAGCCCATAATAAAAACAATGCTTAGAAACAGCATAGGGAAAAAAGAACAATTGAAAGCATGCTGAAAGAAAAATTCTGGTTATCTACAAGATCTAAAAGACAAAGGATAAAGAGGTTTGCAACCTGAGTGTTAAAGGAACAACACCTTCACAATTTTGAGATTAAAAAACCCTATCAAGTAGATTATCTACTATATGTGCAGATAACAAGGTAGATAAACAAAGCATATACATGTGCCTTTCATAAAGAGAACTTAAAATGTGGAAGCCAAGGCATAAAAAGACTAGTGAAGAACACTAAAGGCAGTTAAGTAGGCAGTGAAGTAAACTTTATAAAAGTTAAAATATTTTAAATAGTTGTACAGGAAAATAATATACAAATGCTAAATAATAAAGATTATATATATAATATATATATAAAATCTGGATGGGGGAGTGATCCAATAAGATGCAGAATAGCCAATTAAGTTTAATTTCATATAAACTATATTTTTAGTAATAAAAATGTCTCAAATATTGCATGGGACTTACATTAATTTGTTATGAATTTCAAATTTATCTAGGCATTCTGTTGCCTGAAAGTTAGAGAGTATGGATGAAAGTGGGAAAATGCTAAATTTATTTAAATAGGTTAAATCCCCCTTTAAGAAAATTTAAAAACTTATTTATATGCTATTACTAATGAAAAGATTGAAACAAAGTAATGATTATAATATAGGTGAAGGTTTATTAGGCAGTCATAAAGAAGTGCTTATATTTCTAAAATTTTAAATGAACTAATTTTGCACACTAAGGTAGGAAGAAATGAAAAATATAATAGTTTCCTGAACTCTTGCAATAAGATGATAATGGATAGGGAAAAAAGGTTTAGAAAAAGGGACAAATAAAAATGTAGAATGAAAATAATGAAAAACATTTAATTGAATACAATAAAAATAGAAAAATCTTAAGGTATTTTTAGAGGAAGTTCCTAAATTATAGCTTTAAATTTTTTGATTTTTTTTAAAAATCAAAATCCTTATGAGATTTGAAATTTAAAAAGATCTAAAGTTCTTGAAGAACAGACATTGGAAAAGAAAAAGATTAATGAGATTGCTCCAAAATTATGAAGTTAAAGTAATGGAGAATTTGATTATATATTTGAAAAAAAAAGTTCACAATAATTATCCACTAAATAGTTGAGACCTGTATATGGATTGCCTATGCATAAATATTCATACATATGCTTATATACTTCACATGATAAAACTCTATGAATGAAAAGATCATTCAGTAAATGTTGCTTAATTAGCTTGTGAAAAATTAGACTTTTATCTCATGACTACATATGTATGTATGTGATATATTGATTATAAAGCACAAGTCTTCAAGCCGTGTTCCATGAACTTCCATACGGTTTCATGAAGACTGGTGTGCATCAAAAACAAAACCACCACAAATTTAACCCCACTTTTATCTGATTCATAATATTAGCAAAAGATTTCATTTCAAAGAAACCCAAAGTTCTACCCCTTTGAACATGTTTAAAATACACTAGCGTTGGTTTTTAATATGGTTGAAAACATGCATTTTTGAGTCAGATGAGAGTTCAGAAAAAAAATACCCAAGAATTTGTATACATAAACGTTGCGTTCAGAATAGGAAAAATACTTGTCATAATGAGTTATGAACTTTTATAAAATCAACAAGATGGACACCTAGTAAAAAAATTGGCAGAGGACATCAATAGAACAAAGCTATGAAATACCACTTTATTATCAAAAATAATAGCTATTTTCAGTGAGAGTATAGAGTGATGGATACTTGTACACTATGTTGATGGTAAACTCACTTTCTGAAATTTATTTGACCAATCATGAGCCTTAAAATTGATACTCTTTCTTATATTTAGGACTCTCTCTCTCTCTCCCTCTCGTCTCCAAGGGCAGAAACCTCAATATAGGAACTTGCTGTAGAAAGCCATTAGACATTGAGGCTACTCTTTCAAGAGTGTATTTCTTTCTCTTTGGATATCCACTTTTCTCCCTGCAGACTAACCTTCCTGTCTACTCATTCTATCCGCACTTAAAATTGTCACATCTCTGAATACAATGTTGTTTTTCTTTTTCCAAATTCCATAGCCCACAACTAACTTGTAATTTCCTGCTGGGTCTCTATTCAGATTTCTGAGTGGGGGAAGAAAATTAGCTATCTTTATTATTACTGCCTCTGGACAAGCCTGAGACCAGGGTAAACTATAAGCTACTCAAAAGTATTTAGATTGGTTAGTTTTGCATCAGATATTTGCTCTGATTCCTTCCTGGGGCCAGGGTGAGGTGATATGGCATGTAACATTGTCATTATGGTCTGATCTTCAGGTAGTTTTCTTCAGAAATTGGTGGGTTTGGACCAAGTGTTCTAAAATATAACACACAAAGATAAATGTTTATGATATTATTGCAGTTTTCTTAATGCTGCCCTACCTCCAAAATAGGGAAGTCAAATACATTGTGATGCATCTATAGGTTGGAATGTTGTACAGTCATTAAAACATGTATTTTCAAACAATATTGCTATAAGAATATACTTATGGTGTTAAGTGAGGAATACAAGATACAGAACTGTATATGGGGGTATGATTCTTTATATTTATATATATATTTCCATGGGGAAAATATTGGACACAAACAAAATTGAATATATACAAAATGTTAGTGGGTTTCTGTGATAGGATGGATTGTGGTTATCTTTATGTTCATACTTTTCATGTATTTTTTATATTTTTATTGGTGTTTTATTTTCATAAACAATAAAAATCATTTTACATACAAATTTTTTAAACATTAATGGTTACATATTTCAATGTGTCTGTATCATAATACCTAATTGTCTCAGACATGTGTACTACAATTACATTTTCTCCCTTATCCTTTTTCTTAAGGAATTACACTTTGATTGGTTTTCTTGTTTTTTTTAATACAGTCCTCATTATTCATAGCTTTTGGGTCTACCAAATCTACTCACTAAAATCTATTCTAACAAGCCTGGTTCTATACCACTGACATAAAAACACTGAAATTAAAAAAAAATTGAGATGTTATATTGACAGGATAAGGGGAGTGTAAGGCATGATTTAAGAGCACCAAGTTCCCATCTCTCATAGTAGAAAATCTGAAGGTAGTAATAAAAATTGCCAATCAAGAAATAAATGTAGGGCTTCCCTGGTGGCCTAAGGATTAAATCTCAGCGCTATCACCACTATGACCTGAGTTCCATCCCATCAGGAAGCTAACCCACATATGGCACAGCAGACTTCTCCTGTCTCACCTGCTGCTCCCCTTAGCAGTGTATTTCAGTAGATCCGCCTGTTCTGCTCCCCACTCTGTCTCTGATGAGTCCTTTTGGCCCCCTGTGCCTCAGGCCTACACCCCAGTTCTTCTATGCAAAAATAAAAGTATAAGCAAGTATTTAGAAATAAGGAGGTAAATACCTGTGGTTGAAGCTCAAATTATGGAAAGTTAATTATTCTGTGCATTAGAGGCTGAGATGGAGCAGACAATGGTGTGGTTAGCCAAGGCTTAACCTGGATCAGTAGTTCATCTACGAAGAAATGTATAGCTTGATGGCTGTTCAGATACCACACCAGGTACATTGTACCAAAAATGTGTTCATTATAAAAGCTGAGTCCCAATGTTTGCCTTCTGTAGGCTCCATAATGGAGAACATATTCCTTTTAATAGCATGTGACATAACTTTATGGCACAATGTTCTCAGTCCATCACCCACTCCTACCACATCATTGGCTCCTGACCCATGACACGTAGATCCTAACAGTCCTCAGGGAAGAAATGCAAGTGCTCCCTGTGGAGATACCTGTACTTTAAGAGTTACTAGACCTTGGTAATTATTAAATCTAACATTTTCAATTTATTTCATTGTATTAATATCAGCTACCATATCGTCACCAAATGATTCCCACTTTCCATTAATTTCCCTTTTCTGATTTAACTCAGCACTTTCAGAGCACTAAGAATTGTGGAGCTAACAAGAATTTTAGTTTTTGCCCTTATCTTAGGATGAAGTCCAAGCATCTAAGGTGGCTAACAATGTTTTTGTGGTCTGGCCTTTGCGAGCCTCTCTCTAGCATAACCACTATATATTCCTGCTCTGTTCTTTTTCAATGCTATATTCTAATGTAGAACTTCTATTTCCTGAACTTGTATGCCCTTGTCCCTCCATACCTTTACACTCCTTATTTTTCCTTTATCACCTCCTTAATCTCCATCACTCACAAACTATAGCTAATTTCCACTCTTCTTTTACCTTAGGTTATCTGTCCTTGAATGTCTGGTAAAATTCAAACAAATATATTTATGGAAAAAGACAGGGATGTTACTGGCTGAAAAGATTCTCTAAGAACTAAATTTTAAATGTACTCCAAAGAGGTATTATTTGAAGCAACATATGTTTAACTTAGGTAACTTAGAAGATATTGTATAGGTCATTTATTTTTGGAAAGCTAGGAGATTTAGGAGGAAAAAAAAGAATTTTAGCTAGACCAAAATAGCTGTTGAAAAAAAAAAGATTAAAAAATGAAAAAAGTCCCTTTATCTTTTAATCACCCAAAATTAAAATATTAAAGAAGTGAAATACTAGAGAAAATGAGAATGTTAAAATCCATTATACTAAACATGTCAATAATGGCTTTGATGAATGAATGAACTACACTTCAAGAATTTCTTGCAGTCAGAATTTTCTGTGGTCCAGATCCTCTAAAACTGCCGTACATTTATGTGACTCTCCACATCAATTATTGGTGTAGTCTGTTTACTAATCCATCTTGTATTGTGATGTAAAAGATGAACACATGCACACACAAGAATTTTTCACATTTATTAACTCATCATAAGGGTTCACTCCAGTTTCCCTTTTCTACTTTTGAATAGGGTATAAACCCTTGACAAAAAAACTTCATTCACTAGGAATGTCTCCAGTAAGAACATTTTGGGCAAGATAAGCTTCTTGACTCAGGAATCCTTTGTAGTTCTTAAGTAGCATACAGAAGAGGCAGTTCCACTGCATCATTAATAGTGCAATTTATTGACTTGCTGATGTTTGGGATAACTGATAGTCCTAACACTATGAATGTCTTTTCAGCCTAGATCCCAAAATGCATTTTCAGGAATATTCATATAAACACATCCACCTACCATTGCAGTTGAAATCCCTCTTCTAATTCCAGTCCCCCACTCAACACAAGGACAACCAAGGGTATTATCAGGAGTGGAGTAATTTCATGTCACTGCCTCCTGCCATTAATTTAGAGTTCAGTCCTTAGAAATGTCTCCGATATTACTGAGATACTGGTTTCTCATGATCTTACAAGGACTGGAAGTTCTGAATTTCATTAAATATCAACTCCAAGGGTATTGTCTGGCTCCCTAATCTTCATCAATGTGTCAAGTGAAGATATGAATACCTAGGTCCCAGTTATTAAACAGGAAAAGATAACGAATATCAGACTAGTTGATAGGCGCAAACCATTGCTTAATTCCAGGCCCTCGTGGCTTCATTTGGAAGTCTGGAAAAGACTTTTATCCAACAACAGATTTTGATCCAACAACAGATTTTTCTCTAATATTAATTGTGTCTTATCAACTAAAGACTAACAAGTGTTTTCTCATATTCACCATATTCATAGAATTCTCTTCAATATAAATTCATGGATGTTAAACAACTCCTGCAACCTGACTGAAGGTAATCCTGCATTTCTGGTTGCTACAGGACTTCTCGAGAATGAAGTTTTTGGTGTTTCATAAGGTTTGATCTCCGGTTGAAGGCTTTCTCACATTCCTTACACTTGAATGGTTTCTCTCCTGTATGAATCATCTGATGTCGAATAAGGGAGGAGCTCCGGTTGAATGATTTCCCACAGTTACTACATTCATAGGGACTATCTCTAGAATGCAGTCTTGAATTGTTATTAATGTCTTCACTCGTACTGAGCATTTCTTCACTTTTATTGCCTTTGTAAGCGTTTGCCTCAGTATGAATATTTTGATGTTTAGTAAGGTTTGTACGTCGGTTGAAGAATCTCCCACATTCACTGCATTTGTAGGGTTTCTCTCCTGTGTGAATGATTTGATGTCGAATAAGAGATGAACCCCGGCTGAAGGCTTTCCCACACTGAAAACATGCAAAGGAATTCATTGAGGTGTGACTTTTTGGGTGCTGCTTATCTGTACTCAGGCTCAGAGTACTTGCAGGTTCAGTATCATCTGAATGTTTCTTACCTTTTGAATGTAAATTAAATCTGACATGAGTTTTAAACTGAACACACTCTGGGGACTCCTTTCTCATACAAATCTCCTCTTGAGTGTCAAAAATCGAGTTAACTGTGTTAACATCAAAACTTTTCTTATTTTCACTACATTCAAAGTTTCCCTCATTAGTGTAATTTGTCTTATGAATGAAAGCTCCTTGTGGCAAATCTATATCCCAGCGTTTCTGGTTCCTATAAAACCAATCATCACTCTTCCAGGCTGCTAAAAAAGGGTGTTCACTTTTTGTCAGTCTCGTCATAACCACTTGATAAGGTGAGTCTTGTCCAGAAATTCTCAGCTTTGGAAATGAATCTTGTTTTTCTGAAATTGTCTCTCTAGCTAAAAAGAAACAAAAACCAGAAGAAGGGTAATTGCTTAATTAGTAAAGGGAGGCTAAACCATATAAGGGTACACACAGATTTTATGAATCTTAAATACAGAACTGAAATGAGAGGTGAGATTAGAAAAGAACTACAGAAGAAATAAATGGGTAAAGGGGGATTAGGAGATCATGAATAATGAGGAGAGCTACTCAAGAATACTAAAAATGAAAAGGAACTGCTAAGCAAATAAATCCTTCCGGCTCCCTGCTAAAGGGTCTGAGGCCTGGTGCAGTAAATAATCCAATGCAAGTGTAAATAAGAAGTTTGCTTACTTAACAAATCTTTCCTTAGAGAGCTTTCCATCTAAGTTTTAGCTTATCTAAACGAGGTTACATTTTAACAAGGTCGGACAGCCAGCCAAGCTGATTTCTCTCTCAAACGACATGCGACATCCGACATCCCCGAATGGCTGTATCTTTCCCCCTTTGTCTAGGAGTTTTACAGCAGATAGTTGTACTTGCTAGCCAATGTTATCAATGTAAGACGGTTGTGTATAAAAGAAACCTTTGTCTATAGACAGGGGCTCAGACCTTACAGAGCTACCCAGGTCTGGGACCTCACGCATGACTCATAAAGCTTCTCCTGACCTCACCATTCCTGAAGTACCGCTTGTTCTTCCGTTGCCTGGGTAGAAGGCCAGAATTTATTTCTGCAACAAGAATACTTAAGGTGTGGGTACAAGATTAGTATATGAAGTGGGGTGGGGTGACATATCACTGGTTCATAACAAGTCTGTGAAGGTTACACCTAATCTTCCTTTCTTTAAGATCATGTTTCCTTTAACCCAAGCTGTTCACCAATAATAAATAACAATAAATAACCCCTCTTAAATTACCAGTTTAATTTTATCTTTAGAAGCATATTGGGCCTCCCTGGTGGCACAAAGGGTTAAGACGCAGCACTGTGAAGCTGTCCGCAGCCACTGCAGCTCTAGTTTGATCCCCGCCAGGGAGCTACCCACATGGTACAGCAGACCTATCCTGACTTGCCCGCTGCTCTCCTCTACAGTGTACTTCAGTCAGTCTGCCTGTTCTGCTCCCCACTCTGTCTTTGGGGAATCCCTACACCTCTGGCCTATACCCCAGTTCTTGTATGTATAACTAAATAAATCTTAAAAAAAAAAAAAAAAAAGAAGCATATCTACAATTATAGGCACCATAGTAAAAGCAACCTTGAAATCATAGGGCCCCTATTTCCCATACAAATGTGGTTACTCCCTTATTTAACAAAGGTTGGTAGAACTGTAATATACAGTAGCAAGGAAATCATCCTCTTTCTGGATTAAAAATCACTCCTGATTCTAACAGTACTATGATATTTTTCTATGTTTTTCCAAGAACTCAAAACTTTACCTGTTCTGATTAAGGATGGATTCTCTTTTTTCACCTTTCTCCAGTTTGTTTCATTTAATAAATTCCCACTTCCCATCTCAAAATTCCATTTTCACTTAGCCTTTGTACAAATTACTGAGCATGGTGTGTATTTCAGAAATTTTTTAAACACTAAATTTAATGAACTTTCCTTTCTCCTTTCCCACACAACTTTAGGGCTCTCTAATGATTCTATCTTCCACACTTTATCAGTGGGCAAATTACAGCTTCAGCTTTGCAGTTTCACATAGAGCATCGATCCCTGTTTTCACCAGTTTTCAGGACAACTCCACTTGACTCTCCTGAACTCTTCCAACTCAAAAAGTGAGAGACTAGGATATCATTTTCTGTGTGCAAAGAACCCCCTTAATGTCCTCATTTTTTTCAACGAGTTATTTTCTGTGAATATTTACACTAGAGGCCATGAAGAGATCATGAGTGAGTTATTCTCTCTCTCTCATACCTGATCTGTCCTGAGGTGCTATTAATTTATTTTATGAATTAACACCTCAAAGCATCCCCACTGATACACCCAACTTTGCCAGGAACATCAATTCAGTCAAAATTAGTCAATCTCTAGCAGAAATGATCACATAGAGTACTGTACCCACTAACCAGAATAGTGAGTGTCAGGATATCCCAGGGAGGTGTCTCGGAACAAAATGGGAGTATCCACTGCACTTTTCCCCTCTGCCTCACATGAGCACATAGGAGTGTGTAGGAAGATAACATGTTCCTTTAATTCTCAGGCCTTCACAAAGAAAACAACCACTTCCATACCTGAGCTTTATTTAGATGATGATATCATGTGCTTCAAGCTTGATGCCATAATGAGATGGGGGTCTCAAGTGAGGGAATGTATTTAACAAGGCAGAAGCTTGGTTATAACAAAGGGGTGAGAAAAAGAGTAAATGAAGGGGCATTTCAGTAATGACCTCAAAACTTAAAAAGCTAGTAGGAAGATGAGCAGAAGTGGGGTAAATGTAAATGAAAGAAGTAAAATAGAAATGGGATCCAAAGGAAACTGAGGGGAAGAATTGCCTAAAACAGGAAGTTATAGAGTAATTTGCCTGTTTAATAAAGATTTCAGGTGAACAATACCTAGCGTTTGCTAGGGTAATCATAAACAGTAATAAAACAATACTCATTATTAGTAAGAGTATGAAGTGGTATAACCTTTCTGTAAACAGAGCATTAGTAAAAAGGCAGTTAAATATATGTATAGATGAAGTTCATCTTCTAAAAAGGTATCCTTTGGAAATCATCAGATATGCCTATAAAATTGGCAACAACCTACATGTCAGTAGGCAGGAAGGGTTAGCGGTATTATGATATATGAATATGATGGAATGTTACATGTGAATGAGAACCATGTTTTTCACTATTCTAGTGAAAAAGGTAATTGTTCATTATGTTCCATTTCTTTGAGAAGAGCAGAAAATACAATGACTTGCTCCTGATAAACCTGCTTTTGGAAAAAAGTAATCTGCGCAAGCTAGAGACACAACATAATAAAGAAAATGACTGCAGAAAATAAACCAAAATGTTAATATTTTACAGTGCTAGGTAGTGAGGTAATAGGGTGAGTTATATTCCTCTTCATACTTTTTATACTTACTAAAATTTATATGAGCAATAATAATTTTAATCTCAAAAAAATGTTAACAAGAACAAAGAAATTATGATGAAAGTAGGATATTATGGAACAAGGAGTTCTACAGTAAAAGAATGAAAATGGAAGATTACTAAAGTCACTAATACAAAGAAGAGCTGTTTGTTTTCATTAAAAGAAAAAGTATGATTTAATGTCAAGAAAGCTAGTGTTTTTTTATATAGCACTCACCATAGCCAGGCACTATTCTAAGTGTGCTGCACAAATCAACTCATTTAATCCTCACAGTAACATGGAGTATGCTACTATTGATATTATTACTTTGCAACAGATAAGGAAACAGCCCCAGGCTACACAGCTTTAAGTCAAGTGTCTGGGCTATTAACCCACAGCACTATTTTACCTATTCACATAAAAAAAAGAATTTAAACCAAAAACAATGATGACTTTTTTTTCCTTCAAAGTTTAGGTGGTTTTGTTGTCACTTCTCAGCTATCATCTCAAAGTTGGATTGTATAAGGTATATGTTAAGAAACAAGAGCTTCTTGGGCCTCCCCTGGTGGCGCAGGCAGTTGCATGCAGCACTGTAAAACTGTCCGCAGCCTCCGCAGCGCAGGTTTGATCTCAGCTGGTTGGTGAGGGTCCCACATGTCGTGGCAGACCTCTCCTGTCTCGCCCGCTGCTCCCCTCAGCAGTGTGTTTCATCAGTCCGCCTATTCTGTTCCCCACTCAGTCTCTGGTGAATCCTCTCACCCCCTGCACCTCTGGCCTACACCCCAGGTGTCGTATGGATAAATAAATCAATCTTAAAAAAAAAAAAAAAAAGAAACAAGAGCTTCTTACAAATATCTCTTATCTGACTGGTTCTTACCAAAATCAGTTGTTCTTGGGATTTCTTGCTCCATCCATTCTTTTTTCTTATTTTCCAACTTGGAGATCTCAGCTGCTTTGGAAGGTTGATATTCTGTTCATGCAGAAAATGAAAAAACAGTTAACCAGCAAGCATGACATTCCAGATATTTTATAGGGACAAGAATTCCATCCCAAATGGGCCTCCTGGGTGACACAAGGGGTTAAGTCTCAGCACTATGAAGCTATCAGCAGCATGACCCACATGGCACAGCAGGCCTCTCCTGTCTCACCTGCTGCTCCCCTCCACAGTGTATTTCAGTCAATCCACCTGTTCTGCTTCTCACTCTATCTCTAGTGAATCCTCTCACCCCCCTACCCCCATCCACCTCTGGCCTATACCCCAGCTCTTGTATGTATAACTAAAATAAATCTTAAAAAAAAAATAAAGGAAAAAAGACCCCCCAAAAAAATAAATAAATAAAGGAATTCCATCCCAACAATGCAGTAGTCTAAGAGCTGCTGAAAGATAAGGCCAGAAATCACCGCAGACCTGTGTATTTCTAACTTCACATCTGAAAGAACTTTCAATCAGATGTAGCAGGAAAATCTGCTATTGTGCCCAAAGGATACTAGGAAACCTAAGCCAACCCAAATACCCCTAATCACTTCAGCAGTGCTATAGTTTTTTACAGTAGATGAAGAGAGCACCAAAGGCAGATTAGGTAAACACACAGAAGCCACCTTTATGCAGTGAATTCAGGTTCCTATAGTTCTCCAGCATCACCTCCTTGTACAGATTCTTTACAGCAGGATCCAGTTGCCTCCACTCTTCTTTGCTGAACTCCACAACCACATCTTTGAATGTCACGGGTTCCTAAAACATTAAGTTCCTTTTCAGTCACAGGTCATTCCCCAAAATATTACCAGCTAAGAAATTGATTTGGAAAGGACAGGGTGGATGACGTGAATATACAACAATATGCCCAGCCTTTAGAATAGTGTCTGGGCATACTGGGCTCTACATAAATACTCACTAATGAATAAATCCCCTCCTGTCTTATAAGGGCTTTCAAGCCATTAATTGTTGCACTTTCCTGGCCAGCATTCTCAACCTTGTTATTATTGCACCTTTTATCACATTAAATATATACCAAAAATACACCACAGTAGTAGGTTTGGCATGGTGACATGCATCTGAGAAAATGTGATCCTGTGCCTCTGAATTACACTGTGTTGTAAACCAAAATTACCTCAATAAAAATATAAGCAAATACATCTCTTCCCTTGCTCTACCTCAGAGCCAGTCTCCATGAATTAGCAGTCTGTTAATTTTGCCTTTTTCCTTACCTTCTCCCTCTGTAACCTAGATTCTACTCCCACGCATTTGTTATTTCCACGATAAGGGAATACACTACCCATGCTATTTTACTGAATCTTTAAAGGATTTCTCCTTCAAATATCCTCATCCTTTACTGTCAGTGACATCACATTTTCTTCTATTACTTTGGCTACTTCTTTTCAGTATCCTTTGAAGTTTCTTCTACTCCTGTCTACAAAGTGAGATTGCTCAGGATTCTGCCCTTTGTCCCCTTCACTTTTAATCCTGAGCATTCTTTGGGTAAATGTAATTTCTACAGCTTCAATTATCATCTATAATCATGATAGAATCAAGGTATAGAGAATATACAAAGATAAAGTATTTTCCAAAGCATATATGACCAACTAAAAGATTCACTATCCTGTGGGAGAAGATGTCTCATGTGCGTAAATTATTTGGTAGCAGTACAAAGACCAAAAAAAAGACAGTAGAGTGGCACCTAATTCACCTGCAATTTGCCTGTTGGTGAGTCAGTTTCCATTTCCTCCTCTTTAATGTACCCCTTCTGGAGCAGGACAGAATCCTTGCAGGGCATACCTGAGAAAATGAAGCAAAACATTAATGAGACAAGTTTTTTCCCTGGAGAAACTTTTAATGATTATAGTAGTCTTAACATGCTATTCATAGGAACCATCTTTAGAACTCTGAAAAATATCAGTCCCTACCAACACTCAGAATATCCAGGGGTGGGGTCCAGATCTTTCATTTTTAAAAAGCTGTAGAAGGGATTCTGATATTCTACCAGGAGTTGAGAACTACTGGATCAGAGATAAGAGGGTTATGGAAGAAAATAAGCAGAAATCAAATTGGGCATAGAAAGAGCTGCGTAGACCAGCGTCAACAAAAATAGAACAGTTTGGCTGTGAAGACTCCTTGTAGCCCAAAGACCGAGCACACTACAATTCCAAACCCCTGCACTCTGTTGCCGCTGCTGAGCATAAACAATGGGATTTTTTTTTACCAGACCTATTATGTTCATGAGAGACATTCTTTAAGATTTTGTGACCTAATTCTTGAGTTTCTAACGCATAGATTGCCTCTGACCACAGAGATAGTCCCTAAATGTATACAATGCAGTTACCTACCTCTTATTTTTACCTAAGGATATTAGAAAATTACCATTTACTTCTAAAACAAGTACTTTGTTATAGAGTAATTAATATGCTCTACAATAAACAGCCCACTTTCCACAATGGTATACAACCTGTAACCACACCTCAGAAGAGCAGGAGCAGCTGACTAGAAATTTTTTGGGTACTGTTCCCTGGGGTTGACCTCACTTTCGAAGCTAAAAATAAAGCTTCATTATTAACCTTTCCTCACCACAGTGGTGATTATTTCCATCAACAGAGCCAACATACTATTTTGAAGCCTCATGTATGATTACAATAGATTACAAAAATAATCAATCCTGTCCTAATTAAAGCCTAACTTAGCCACCACCGGCTATAATTCTATTGAGTTTTATCCAACCAATCCCTGCCTTACATACATTAATTCTATTCTAGGGTTGTTTCCTCTGTTTTGCTCTGCGTTACACTATACACAAACTTAGGTAGTCTGGCCACACTGAACTGACTCCTTCAGGACATAAAATGAGCGGCAACCAATTCTCTTCTCCAGTCCTTTGATGAGAAGTGTAGGGTAAAGAAAATATCAGGCTTTTCTGCCCTTCCGCCATCAGGATAGATGATGGATCCTTGTCCTGAATGCATGCCTGATGGTGGGCACCTGGAATAGGGTGTGGGCATAGGTAGATGGGATTCAGCTGAGCTAAGACTGTGCTTTTAAGGGCGGCGTCACGGGGGGACGCCAGCAGCACCAGCACCAGCAGCAGCCGCAGCCGAAGCCGAGAAGCAGCAGAACGAACGCTAGAGAGCCCAAATAGAGTGAAGACTTGCTGGGGGCTGGGAGGCCTGCCAGCCTCCCAGCCCCCCAGCCAGCACCCCTGCCTGCCATATGCCTGGTGAACCCCAAATAAAAAACCTGCAAAACTACTGAGGACTCTGACTCCTCCTTTACCCGGTCTGCATGGGATCAGAAAACCTGCCTTGTGCCCTGTCCTGCCCCTTACAATTGGCGTAGTCGGCAGGATCCATGCAGACGGGTATTGGAGCCCTCCGAAGACCTAGAGGGACTAAGGAGAACAGACTTTGCCTGTGACGACGCTGGAGGCACCATGGCGGTATAGAAGATGGATACGTCCACGAGCTACAGGATGAGACCTGGCGTGAAGGAGACGCCCGAAAGGACCAGCCAACGACACCGGAAAGGACCAGCCAACGACACCGGATAGGACCAGCCAATGACCCCTGAGGCAGCAGGCCATTGCTGAAGCAGGGAGAGGCCAATGGACTGATAGACTGATGAACTGATGATTTTGGACTGACAATCCCGCCAGAAGGCGGAGGACCTTAGCAGGTTATGTTTTTTTTTTTGAGAATCTGGGGGTGGCCAGTGGGCCTAGATGGCCAAAAGCAGCCTGTGCATGCCCAGCAGCCAGGTGGAGGAGAAAAGCCAACTAAGAAAGCAAAAGCTGGTACTGATGATAAGTTGAGAAGCCCTGAGTGGCTGTTAAGCAGCTTTAGTATGTTGAAGAACTGTGAGTCTCGTAAAATCACCTGTGGGTGATGCCCTGCTCATTCTTGAGCGAGGGTGAGGAGCTGAGGAACCTGTCCTTGGGGGACGGGTGGGGAACGTGGCTTGAGGTGGAGCCCAAGCCGAATGCAAAGTTTGGATCCCCAACCCATGTGCTTGTGCAGTGGGTTGGCTTGAGTGCAGGGGTCTGTGAGTTGCATGGGTGGCCATGAAGGCCGAGTGTTGGAGCGACTGCAGACAGAAACCCTGAGGGTTGGCGATTACCCCCAACAGAATAAAATTGCCAATCCCAGAGCTAGTGCATCCTGGGGGTGGATGCTGTGTGTGCCTTGTAGCCGAGACTACAGCCAGAGAAGGCCAGGAAGCCTGACGGCTCCTGGTGTGTTATAGCAGATGCCGTGTGTGATTTCCCCTCCCTCGTATGAGCAGTGCCTTCGGCAGCAGATTTGGTGGCTCATCTGCTGGTACCAATAATTGTCTTTTGCACTTGGTTGGTGCCCTGCCTGGACTTATTTGTGTTCTGTTGTATTTTGTTATGTTGTATTTTGTTATTTGATGTATTTGCTTTTGTGGGCCATGGCTGCATTGTTTGTTTGCTTAGAAAATTGTGTATATATGTATAGACTGTATGGCAGAAAACCCTGAGGGGGTGGACTGTAGGGTAAAGAAAATATCAGGCTTTTCTGCCCTTCCGCCATCAGGATAGATGATGGATCCTTGTCCTGAATGCATGCCTGATGGTGGGCACCTGGAATAGGGTGTGGGCATAGGTAGATGGGATTCAGCTGAGCTAAGACTGTGCTTTTAAGGGCGGCGTCACGGGGGGACGCCAGCAGCACCAGCACCAGCAGCAGCCGCAGCCGAAGCCGAGAAGCAGCAGAACGAACGCTAGAGAGCCCAAATAGAGTGAAGACTTGCTGGGGGCTGGGAGGCCTGCCAGCCTCCCAGCCCCCCAGCCAGCACCCCTGCCTGCCATATGCCTGGTGAACCCCAAATAAAAAACCTGCAAAACTACTGAGGACTCTGACTCCTCCTTTACCCGGTCTGCATGGGATCAGAAAACCTGCCTTGTGCCCTGTCCTGCCCCTTACAAGAAGTAACCCAAGAATTACATTCCTAAGGTTTTGCCAAGATTCATCAGTTACACCAATGATCCCCAAATGCCAAACTATGGACCAACGATTATGCTTTATTGATTCAAGGTGATATAAGAAAAAATAGAAATTATGTAGTTAAGTTTGCTATGACATTAAATTTCATTCAGTTTTTAAGACTGTATTTTTAATGTTTAATTTCTTTTTGTATAATAATAGTTACTGATTTCAGAATGCTCATGAAAAAAAGAGTTGACAAGCCTAAATTGTTTCTACAGCCACCTTTAACTTTTAATGACTTGAAAGTATGAAGCCTGAGAATCATGTTATTACATAAAAGCCTCAATCTTTAATTTCCCTTGTGATTTCTTCCTTGACCCAGTAGACTGATCAATAAGCCTGTCTGATAATACATTCATATTGCTTTATGCTACCAAGTTTACGATAATTTGTTATAGCAGCAATAGGAGAGAAATACAACTCACTACAAATAAACAGCCTCTCAACTTCATCTCCAAAACTGTTCAAAATAAAGCTTAATAATTGCTTCATAATCAACAATTTCAATAAATTATTTCCAATATTCATCTTAACAGGAACATTTGTTACATCATAGTTGAACATTCACTTCCTAAAAATTTTCTTAGCTCAAAACACCATCTTTCCTGAGTCTTTGATCTTGATTACTCTTTTCTACCTGCTTATCTGTTTTTCTTCTTTTGCTCAGTGCTTCATTCGTTTTTAAGAGAAAGACTAAATATGCCACAATAACAGTAATCACCACTGTCCCATCAATTTCTTGTCAAATATCCAATAGACAAATATACAATAGTCTGCTACCTGGTTTTCCTGTTTTCAGAGCCCACATTAGAAAGGTGACACATTTTTTTCTGTAAAGAGCCAAATAGCAAATAGTTTAGGCTTTGCAATGAATATAATCTTTGTTAGAACTAATCAATTCTGGTCATGGCATGAAAGCAACTGTAAATATAAACAAATGGCCATTCTCCAGTTAAAAGTTTATTTCTGAAATTTCCAAAAATATTTAGCCTTGCTTCAGCTGTTGACCCCTGTTCCACTGATACCAACATATTTTTTAAAGGCAAACCAAATCATTAAACTCTAAACTGTGAGATCTCGTTGTTTGTCTCTATTGCCTATGGACTAAAGCTCAGGCTTCCTAATATACTAAAGATCTTTATGATCTGGCCCTTGATACCTTCTAGCCTCAGAAAAGGATAATTGCTCCTTATATAGGAAGGGTCAACTATGCTACCTCCAGTTTTCTATATACCCACCTTTGTCTTTATGCATTTCAATCACATCCCCCAAGAGGGTAACCACTTCTTTGGTGTTCTTTGGATGTTGTAAATTCACCCAAACTCTGACCTCTTCAGGGAGAATTGTCAGGAACTGTTCTAGCACCAACAGTTCTAGGATCTGCTTCTTTGTATGAATCTCTGGTCTCAGCCACTGAAGACAGAGTTCCCAAAGTTGGCTCAGGGCTTCCTGAGGCCCAGATCCTTCCAAATACTGGAAATGTCTAAATTTTCGACGACAGGTCTCAGAATCACATGTCTCCATGACTGGGGTGTTCTCCTGCTGCCAAAACATATTTGCTCTCAGAATCTCATTTTGTTCAGAAGGAGTCAGATTTTGAGGTTTTCAGATAGCCATCAGTTTATTCAAAGGCTGCATCTTCCTAGGTAGAATTCCCACTGTAGTTCAAATTTGTCTTATCAGGATTCAAATTCTCAGGTTTGAGTTAAGCAATTATGTATCATATATATGCAGTGTGATGATTCAGCCGAATTATGTAGGAGATCAGTTCTAGGAGTTTCAGACACAAAACCAATATTCAGGTATCTGCGAAGCTAAAAAAAAAAAAAGACCTGTATTTTGATGATGAATATGTATTAGTACACTGCTGACAAAATAGTACAATATTATTAAAATTATCTAAGAAAAACAAGAAAAATAAAACATGCCATGCATGTTTTCCTTCTTTAGAACAGAAAAATACTCTGTCCCTGTACCCCAGTTACCTCTCAAAAAGACAAACAAATCTCAAAAAAAGATAAATGAAATAGTTATTTGGTTAAGGAAAATTTTATAATTTAACTGCAATTAGATTTCTCTTGTACAGACAAATCATTCTTGTTTTAAAACTAAGGCATCATATTAGATATACCTAAAAAACCTCTTCCCAAATTCTTATTAAAACACCAATAAAATGAATAAAACTGGTAAAAGCTGGTAAAATTAAGGTAAGAGACAAAACTGGTAAAAACTGGTAAAATTAAGGTAAGAGACAATTATTTTAAAAACGTAAGAACATGTATCTGTGAGTCACTTCATTTTAGGGATGTCATAGAGTACATTCTCTGATCATAATAATCAAAATTTTCATATTGGTAGAACTCATTCTGGGCCTGTCTGCCAAACCTCACCTGGATAATATAGGCTCTACTAAACATTTAGACTCACAAAGCTACCATATCATATTTGCCATCAGTCAAATATGTTTCTGTTGAACAGAAAACAGTTTGCTAACAGAGGGGTAACTGGCATTTTTCTTCGTGGGAATCCTCACAGTAAAGTTCAAATGCAAGATGAGAGTGCCCTACACAGGGTGGAAAGCATTCTCACTGAAAAGCCATCCCATAGCAGCCAATACCTCTCTGGCAATTCTGGGAGCACAAGTTCTCAGGGTTCCCTGAAAGGCTTGCCTAATTATGAAAGTCATCACGTTCAGGGAAATTCAGATACAGCTTTCTATATTACTCACAGTCCATATATTCAGGGGTCATGTTTATTATTAGCCTCTAGGCCATTAGTTCACAGCTGCAAATTTGCCACCAGGAAAAATTTGGCAATATCCAGAGACAGTTTTGATTGCCACAAATGGGAGCTGTTACTGGCATTTAACAGTGGAAGCTAGGGATGCTGCTAAACACACTATAGTGCATGACACAGCCCCTTATACCAGAATTATCCAGCCCCAAATGTCAATAATTCTAAGGCCAAGAAACCCTGCTAGAGGTAATATACAGTGGCTAAGAGTACATGCTTCCAAGTCATATTGATATCAATAAATACCAGTTATTATTATGTGTATGAACTTCAGCAAATTTATTTAACCAACACTTGAGTTTTCTCAACTGCAAAATGGATATAACAATACCTATCTGAGTTATAGGGATTAAAAGAACATTCTTCACTTCTTAGGAGATGGTAAGCACACAAAAGATTATCATACACAAAACTTATGTCAGCTTGTTAGATCTTACTGATTGACCAAAAGTGTGTGGACAAAAGTATTTCCTGTCCTCATCTATTTGTAATGTCCACCTGAATAGATCTTTCAACAATTCACATAAGGACTAGTAAACAGAACAGGGGAAGTACATACAGAGATCACAATGCTCAGAAGAGTTGGGACAAAAGAACATTTTGGAATATAACTTTCTGTAAAGTTGTATGTTCGGAAATGAGCAGAACCTGTAACACTAGAGGCAAAAGAAAGTATACTCTGGTTGATAAAGTTATTTCCACAGAGGTATGGAATATAGCTATCCTAACACAGCTATCCAAGTATGCTGGAATGAACAAGTGAATGAACTGCATGCAGCTCATAAGAGCCAGGTTTCTCATGTTTGAGTAAGAGTTTACAGATAACCAAGGACAACAGGCTAGACTGATCCATGTGGTAATGGTTACAATTGAAGATATCATTATGAACTTGTATTTAGTTTAACTATAGATATGGTGGCGGGAGAGCTACAGGGACTAGAATGATCTGAGGGAAAAAAATTAATAAAAAGAGAAAATAAAAATACCTACAGATGTGAGTATATACAGGGGTTAGTGTACACACATATTTCCTTGTTCTGTCAGCTGAGTGGGTCTAGAAGCAAGGATACCCCAGTTGCAAGAACACCTAACTCCCAGATTTTGGTTTCTAATGCCATTCTTCAATAAAAGGTACCAGGGCTCTGTGGGAGAAATGGCTGACTTTACGACTGGGGCAGGGGATATACAAGATAAGCCTGGAGTACCCTGCAGTACAGGACTGGAAAGACTTGCTCAAAAACAAAACAATACAGAACATTTATTGGGGCATGTCAAAGGTATACAAGGAACCAAATGCAAGAGCACCCAACGGCCAACGTTGAAATAATTAGAGCAGTAGAATAAAGTAATAACAGATTACAATCCAAACTATAAAATATCCACAAGTTATACTGATGTGTGACTGAATCAACAAATGAGGAAGAATAGACAAATGCTCCATGCAGAAGAATTTAAAATCACTTATGTACTTATTCCTCTAAGTATAACCCTCCACCCATTGAGTGCATAGTGATTTCCTTCCAAAGAGCATACTTTGGGAAAGGAGAAAGAGTAAATTTGTAGTGGGGAAACCTGACAAACACTACCTCAGCCAGATGATCAAGGTTACATCAATAATGATAAATCACACTGATAGGACCCTTGAGATCATGTAGTGGAAAGAGCATTTTATCTCTGATCATTCTCCCCAACCCCAGTCTAATCATGTGGGGGGGAACAGATAAATTCCAATGGATGGACTCCCAATGAACTAGTTGTCCAGTATTCCTCATTAGAAACAAGCCTGAGAAACTCTTGTAGCCAAGAGGAACATAAGGGGATATGACAATGCAATGTAATGTGACATTCTGGGTGAGACTAAGGTTAAGGAAAAAATCATTAGGAAAAAATCAAAATATTAATACAGTAAGAACATTAATATTTCAATATTATTTTATCAATTGTAACACATATACTATAATTTGTTACTAACGGAGGAAATGGTACAGGGTATATAGGAATCCTGTACCAGCTTCTCAATATTTCGATAAACCTAAATTGTTCTAAAATAAAAAAAAGTGATTATAAAGTTGGTGGACACTTGTCTTATTCAAAAGGATACATTGTAATAACACAAAGTAGAAGTAGTGGGTAAGTCATTTGGTAAAACAGAATAAGATGAAGATAAATATAAAAATGAATTAGCAGACTTAAAATATTAATTGGAAGTAGTAAACAGCAGAAGGTACAGCACACTGAAGCAGTGATATTGTAACAGGGTGGTCCCCAGGAAAGGGGGAGGTTCCAGGTTCCCTGCCCCACCCAAATGGAGTGGGGAGCTGAGCAGAGAGAGGAGAAGCTGCAGAGGAGACTGAGGAAGGAAGCAGGATGGAGGCAGAAGGAGACCTGGAGGAGGCACATGGGGCCAAGAGACATGTGAAGAAACTGTGCTTGCCTTTTGGTCGTGGACTGGGTGACACAGATGTGGGTGAGAGACCCAAGGGGAGGTGACAATGGCGGTTTTTATCTTGATTTTGATTTTGCTCTTTTCCTTCCGGGCTTGTCTGGTTGTTTCTGACCCTTTTCTGTGGGTCCCCACTGGAAGATGCTTTAGACTTGTGGCAGGCTTTGGGGCCTTGCTCTGGGTCATTCCCATTTGGATGGAGTTTTACCCACGAGGGGATGGGCAACTTTGGGTGCTTATTTAGAAACTAGATTCTTTGCCTTTCCTGTCTTGTTTCCTAATTGTATTAAAGTTCCTTCCCATTAAAGTCTCATATGTTTTTGTGTTGATGCGGGGGGTGGCAGAACCCATTTAGAATAGGCAGGTTTGGAGGGTCTGGGGTGCACCTCTCCCTGCCCTGTAACAATATGATAGAAAAATCTAAAAGTATTTCCCAAAATGCAAAGGTAATGAACAAAATTTTATGGTGAAAAAATTAAAATCTTGGAATTTTTCAAATAAAAGCGAATCACTCTATATGGCAAAAGGGAAAACAATCAACTAGCACATGAGAACTTATATGATAAAAATCAACAGTCTTCACCCTACTATCTCCTCTCTATGCCCAGATTCACTCCATGGAAGTCATATTGTAACAGGGTGGTCCCCAGGAAAGGGGGAGGTTCCCTGCCCCTCCCAAGGGAGGGTGGAGCTGAGCAGGAAGAGGAGAAGCTGCAGGAGAGACTGAGGGAGGAAGGAAGCAGGATGGAGCCAGGAGACCTGGAGGAGGCGCGTGGAGCCTAGAGACACGTGAAGAAACTGAGCTTGTCTTTTGGTCGTGGACTGGGTGACACAGATGTGGGTGAGACCCGTGGGGAGGTGACCATGGCAGCTTTTATCTGGATGTTGATTTTGCTCTTTTCCTTCCGGGCTTGTCTGGTTGTTTGTGACCCATTTCTGTGGGTCCCCACTGGAAGATGCTTTAGACTTGTGGCAGGCTTTGGGGCCTTGTTCTGGGCCAATCCCATATGGATGGACTTTTACCCACGAGGGGATGGGTAACTTTGGGTGCTTCATTTAGAAACTAGACTAGTTTTATTAAAGTTCCTTCCCATTAAAGTCTCATGTGTTTTGTGTTGATGCGGCGGATGGCAAAACCCATTTAGAATAGGCAGGTTTGCGGGGCTTGGGCTGCCCTTCTCCCTGTCCTATAACAATTCTGAAAGCTGCTGAAATTTAAAAAAAAAATTGAGTTATAGATTTGTTTCACTTGATCTTGTAGGTGTTCATTTAATTAAAAAGAAAATATTTCGACCAGTCATATTTTAAATTTAAGAGCTCTTTCTTGTTCACTGATGATTCTTTTCCCATAGAACTGCACTCGTTTGGCTGTTGTAAGATCATTTCAAATTTCTCTGATGATTTTAATTTGTTTTGTCCCCTAAATTCCCTTTAATTTTGTCATCAGGGTTTCTATTTATGTTGGGTTTTTTCCTTATTTTTTTGCTCACACTTAAGAATCCAATGTTAGGTTAATTATTACAGATTATCATATGAATTTCACCTTTTGCTATAACAATAGATTGGCTTCCTGGTGGCTATTTACCCCAAGGGGATATCTTACTAACAGTCACCTTGATCTAGTCTGGTGGGGGAGCTGGCTGTCAAGCTGTGGATCACCTACATATGAGAGTTAAGATTTTACTTTGAAATGTCAATATCCACACCAAAAGCCTTAGTTTTCCTCAGAGTGTTGATTCAATTTATTTAGGAAAGAACTTTTTATGGGGAGGAATACACAGGATCTCTATGTAGGTAAGAAGGGGATGGGCAGTTGGGGAGATGACTAAGAGCACAACTTGAAAACAAAGCTGTTATTAAATGTACCAAGTAACATAGTTAAATATATTTATAGCAAACTCCTCAGAAAACAAAATATTGAATTAACAATGACACAACAGAAAGGGGATACTAAGGCAACTTTCTCAGTCCTTAAGGGAGAAAGTAAATAACACAACGCATATTACAGGCTTGGTCTTCTCTGTAAAACCAGGTAGAATGTAGCTTCTATTCAAGCACTTAAAAGAATGCCTACAAAACCTGCAATTTATTACACAACCAAAAAATCCACAATAAATAAAAAGTAAAATGAGTGATACAGACTATATTTGTTACCAGAATGAAAACAAGTTAACCCCAAACAGAAAAAAAGTCTCAACTACTTTGAAATCCAAATTTTGCTTCTAAAAAATGACTTTTGGATAAAAAGATAAAGTACATTGTAAAATATCTAACAATTAAAAACACCGCACATCAAAATATACAGAGCACATCAAGCATGACTGGCAATAGCAAAGCCTTACTTACATAATCAAGAATGGCATGAATTAAACATTCAACACAGAAAGTGAAAAAAGCAACAAAATACACTAAGTGTTAATAGGATAGAACCGAACAAATTGCTCAGTGAAAATAATTACAGAGCTAGGAGAACAGGCAATGATCTTCAGGACAGTAAGCTAGCACTGAAGCTAGATTTCACAGGAGGAAGAGTTTGGATGACAGACGACCCAAGATTCAGTCCCAACTGTGGGTAGTCTAAATAATCTGTAAATGATGAATGAATATGGAACAAAGTTCCAGACTCTAAGAAACTGAACAGGTGCCTTTGCAGGTGGCGGAGACTTAGGATGAAGGGTGAAAGTGGTGACTTAGTGCCAGTGGAGGGGCATTAGGAAAACTCCGGTGATCTAAGTTTGAAGAATTTTACAGCTTCAAGGAACGTGAGCTAATTATGGGGAGGAATAGTGTCTATGAAAAGAGTTGTTTTTCAATAGGTCACAGGAAGGGTTTGAGACAAGGAGTCTTCCCAGATTAGCTCAGATAAAAAGAAAAGCAGTTTGCAAAAAGCGTCTGAAATAAGAAAGCTGCCTGGAAGTTTTACAGTTTGGGGGGAGTGGCCAACAACGCCTGAGAGAGCAAGGCTCATTTAAATGAACTCTTCTGCATTTTCTTTTCCAGTTGATGGGCCCAGTCACACCTGGCATTTCCATGCGCAATTAACACCAGCCATCCCCAAACCCGCCGATGAAGAAACACACGGGGCTGAGCGTCCGGGGACCGTCCCCATCACACACTGTCAGGGTGGCCGGCAGGAAGCGAAGCTCCCGGCTGGGCACAGGGGAGCCAGACCTCAGCCGTCCACTCCCGCCGCCCCCCAGCCCTCTCTGCCTCTGCCCAGGGGTTTCAGCTCGCGCCCCCCTCTCCTTCTGTTAGGGAGGAAAAGGATGTCCTAAAGCTAGTTCCATACAGGCTTTGTGGACTCCACCCCCACCCCAGGCCAAAGCCAAAGACACTGGGAACCCCAAATCCCATCACCACCAAAGGGAAGGTGGCTGGGACCTGAGGGGGGGGTTAAGCAGCCAGGTGGATACAAAAGGCAGACACGTTGGCTTTGGAGGGGGTCCCCCATTTTGGCTCTCCGCCAGCTCGCAGCGTCCGGCCAGCGCTGAGAGTGGCTTTGGGTTTCCAGGTCGGCGGATCGGGTAGGATGCATTAAACACTTTATTTCCCTATTTTCTCCCTGAGTTGTACATTTTCCTTCTTTCCTTTTCCCTTGTAAATAAACCTTTTATTAACCTTTTGTGTGTGTCTGTAGTGGAGTATTCATAAGTCCCTTTTAAGCGCGCGGGTGAGGACCCACAGCCAGGCAACCCGTTCCATATCGGGGCTGCCCTACAACACTTCCACCCCCGAAACGCGGGGCGCGGGGCTGGAATCCGGGACCTGCTAAGGAGCCCTGGAAACGTGCCCGTTTCTCGTAGACACCCCCAAGCTGGCCTCTCCGGGGCACGCCCCCGCGAGGTACCCACCAGCACCGCCGCAGACGGGCCGCGTTCAGTCACGCCCGAGCAGCAGCAGCGAGAGGAGGCGCGGGGGTCGCCTCCCGCCCGCGAAGGGTCTGTCGCTGGTAGCCGCGCCGGGGCGGGGCGGCCTAGAGCGCGACCGGCCCTCAGACTTGGCTGCGGGTCCCGCGACTCACCGATGCCAAGGGTCGCCGCCGACAAGCTCCCGCGCACGCGCACCAGGTTTGGGAGGCGCCCCCAGAAGCCCCTGCGGCCTGAGTACTCAGGTAGAACGAGGGGCTCTTCCCAGCCACGCCCCTTTTCGCAAGCCACGCCCCCAAGGGACACGCCCCCTCTCCGAGCCCCGCCCACCACAGACTCAATGACCGCTCTAAGGCTGCTGGGGTAGACGCGCTCCAGCCTTGTTTATAGTGGGTGGGGAGAGAGCAAGTTAGGTTTTCCCTCTTTCCTCATCCCATCCGGTAAAATCTTTCTTACCTGACCCCCCTCCTCTCGCAATTAATTGAAACAAAAATAATGACAGTTTTTTCGAAAATATCTTGTATGTAATGAGATTCAGCATCGTCTTTACTGATTTATTTGTTCACTCATTCATTCAGTTTTGCGTTCAGGTAAAAGAGTTTGCAGAGGATCATGAGTTCAACTTTTGCTTGTTGGCTCTGAGCCATTTTGTGATGTCTAAGAGGCACTGTCAAATAAGCAATTGGGTACAGTGTCTGGATAACTAACATTTGTACCAGTTGTGTTCTGGGTAATGATGCCATGACCAGATGGGAGGACTTCCTATCCTGACTTGAATTCCTTTTGTCCTGTGTTTGAAGATATTGCTGTGTGTGGCTTTAGTTACGGACTTTCTCCTTGAAGGCTTTATAGAATGAATACTCGAGATACTGAAACACATAACACTAATTTAAAATACCTCTGAAAGAGGGAGCTCCTCAATTGCTGGGTGCTCGCATTCTGGTCTTTGTGTATTTACTGTGCTCAAGGACAAGTGTTAGGTATTTCCATGTTAAGGAAACCTCTATGGAAAGAAAGAATGGAGGGAATGGAAGACCCTTGGTAGCATTTTCAATTGCGCAACAGCATTTCATCTGTGAAATGCTTCAGGCTAGGAACTAGCCTGAAGTCCTCACTTGCTGCTCCCTCTTCTGTGCTGGTTATCTTGGAGATTTAGTTTTTTTCTTTTCAAAAAATAGACTTAATTTTTTAGAGAAGTTTTAGATTTACTTTACAGAGACATTGAGAATACAGCAAATTCTTCTAGCCCCTCCTCCTGCTTTTCTTTATTATTGATATCTTGCATCACTATGTGCATTTGTTACAATTCAGAAGATAACATTGCTAACTTATTATTGTTAAAGTCCATACTTTATTCATATTTCCTTAGATTTTTTGGTAGTTTTTCACCTGATTTCCCTTTTCTGATCCAGGGTTTCTTTCAAGATACCACATTACATTTAGTAGGCATGTATCCTTAGGCTTCTGTGGGCTGTGACACTTAACAGACTTGTTTTTAATGACCTTTACAGTTTTTGAGGCGTACTGGCATATATTTTATAGAAACCCCATCTATTAGAATTTTCTCATGATTAGACTGAGGTTATGGCTTTGGAGAAGGAAGAGCACAGAAATAAGTGCTATTTAATCCCATCATTTTAAGGGTACATACTATGAAACTGTATTAACACTGTTAATGTTAAATTTGATTACCTGACTAAGGTAATGTTTTTCAACAAATTCTTTCTTTTTCTGTTATTGGCAGAGGAAGCAACATCACAAATTCCAGGCTCTGCAAATCAGCAGCAGCAGCAGCAGCAACGCCTGTGCTAGCTTGGGTGTGTTACATATACCGGTGTAAACTGCGCCATCTAGTGCTAAACGGCAGTGATGTCCTCGTCAGACCCTTTCTCAGCAGCTTTTCACCTGTGATTCTGACTGTGGGACTCTAACATGCTTAATTCATGGATACTCAGGTTTTGTTTACTTGTAAATAAGAATGATGATTGATATATCATCTTTATTGTCTTTTTAACGTACTAAATATTTTTTCTTTAGAAGTTTTCAGGCCCTTTATTCTCCCTCTCCCTTCATAGCATAAAAGGTAGAACTTTAAGTAGGCAACTTTTTATTGGTAATGTGAAAAAGTCCCACTGGCATCTATTTAGATGGAATGAATGGGAACATAATTCTCTCAGTGTTCCAGTTATTGGTTGCTACTTAACAAACCACCTCAAAACTTAGTGCCTTAAAACAGCAACCCTTTTATTTTGCTTGGGATTCACTGAGTTTGGAATTTAGGCAACAAGGATGTCAGTTATGGGTAATGGTAATATTTTGGATATGACCATGGAAATGATGATTGGAAGAATGCGAAATTAATGAATTCTAAGAGTGCAGCATTTTTGAAAATTTTCATTTCTATGTAAAAATTAAAATAACCAAGATCGATAACAGGAGCAGTGTGTTATGGAGAGTGGCAGTGAACCAGGGATTAAAGACTTCAAGGGAAGGGAGAAGGGAGAAGGGGACTTGGTAATCAAAATAAAATAAAAAGCCCATAACCCCACTTTCCTGGTCATACCTTATTTCATTTTTCTGGAACTTTCAGAAAAGACACCTCATGAAATATTGCCTCGGGTACCATTTTACAAGCTGGAATACTGTGGGCCACAAGTAAACCCAGGATTAAAGACTCTTTCTGATGTGCTGATTGTTTTAATCAGAGCATGTTCCTAGGCTTTTATAACTGGAACATTTAAACTTGAAGTGTCTTTGATGTGAGAGTCATACACACAGCTTATATTACATGTTACTTTAGGATAATGCAGTTTAAACTCCTTAGATTAAATCATGATCATGCTTGGGCATCCCTGGTGGCGCAGGTGGTTGAGCGCCATGCTGTGAGGCTTTCTACAGCCTCTGTGGCGCGGGTTCAATCCCGACCAACCAGCAAGAATCCCACATGGTGAAGTAGACCTCTCCTGTCTGGCCCGCTGCTCCCCTCAGCAGTGTATTTCGGTCTATCTGCCTGTTCTGTTCCCCGCTCTGTCTCTGGTGAATCCTCTCACCCTCCTGCATGTCTGGCCTGTACCCTGGTTCTTGCATAAAAATAGATAAATCTTAAAAAAAATCATGATCATGCTTAAAGCATTTTTATGTTAGTTGAATTAACCACAAACTCTTTTAAAATAGCACTTGATGCTTTTTATAATTAAGAAATAGCCCAAATTTCCCTCCTCTTAGTTTCTCCCTGTCTTCTTGTTTTGATTAGAGTGTTTCTAGAACATGCCCTTAATGCTTATGCTTCTTCCTGAAATGATCTAGTTTATAACTTCCTATTGAAATGTTATCCTTATTCTTTTTAGGATGTTGCTCCAAAAGTCAGACCCAGAGATCACTGCCTCTGAGAAAAAGACTTTTTGCCAACTAGTTTCCTAAGAGCCCCTTTGACATCCTTGTTTCTCAGGCTATAAATTATGGGGTTCAACATTGGAGTCAACACTGTATAGAACACAGATATCATTTTATCCCGTTCTTTTATGGTCTTTGAGTTTGGCCGCATGTAGGTGAATATTCCTGACCCATAGAAGAGGACGACAACAATGAGATGGGAGCCACAGGTAGAGAAAGCCTTGAGCCTGCCCTCCCCCGACTGCATCCGGATCACAGTGGAGATGATATTCCAGTAGGAGACCAGGATCAGGGAGACAGGAGCTAAGAGGATGACCACCCCCATGGCAAAGATGGCCATTTCTGTGTTGTAAGTATTTGCAGAAGCCAGCTTCAGGAGGGCAGGAGGTTCACAAAAGTAGTGATTGATAATGTTCTGTCCTCGATAAGGAAGTTGGAAAGTAAAGGTGGTGTCCACCAAAGACACTAGTGCCCCACTAGCCCAAGACCCTGTGGCCAACTGGAAACACACTTGTTGAGTCATGATGGTGGAATAGTGCAGGGGCTTGCAGACAGCCACGTAGCGGTCATAGGACATCACCGCCAGCAGGGCGCACTCCGTACACCCAACTAGAAGGAAGACAATTATCTGTGTCATGCACCCATAAAAAGAAATGTTTTTCTTTTTTTCCAGGAAGTGGACCAACACTTGAGGGACAATACTAGTAGAGAAACAGAGATCTGCGAAGGAGAGATTTCTAAGAAAAAAGTACATGGGGGTGTGAAGACGAGAATCCATGAAGATGAGTATGATGATGAGCAGATTTCCAAGCACAGTCAACAGATAAATGATGAGAAAAAGAATAAATAGCAGGATCTGGGTCTGCCAGTCCTGTGAAAGACCACGGAAGATAAACTCAGTCACAAAGGTTTGGTTTTCTTCTCCCATTGAGATCTATGCAGGTTTACCTGTTTTGGCACAAACAAAAGAACAAATTTTGTGCTTAATGACATCAAATCCTGTAGAAGAAGCTCATTTAGGACTGATATCCAGTTAGTTATTTCTAGATTTTTGCTAACCAACTTGTTTTAGTTATACTAAATAGAATATTTTTATTCTTTTTTTCCCCAATGTTGTTTTTTCCTTTTTATTTTTTTAAATTTTTTAAATTTTTAAAAATTTAAAAAAAATTTTATTTATTTTTATTTCTTTAATATTTTATTTTATATAATTCTTACATCATTTTTCATCTTTGTACAATATATGCATTTTCATTTTGGTTATATTCCCCATACAATTGCACTCCCCCCTTATTTTGGCTCTAGTTGTTCCTTTCCCCACCCTTCCCTAATCCCCCCCCCAAGTGTGTCTCTGGTTTATAGTTGCTTGTTGATTTTGATTATTACTTTTCATTGATTAGTCTTTTTCCTGGTCTCTTATTTAGGTTTTCTAAATTCCTGCTATGAGTGAGACCATCCAGTATTTTTCTTTTTCTTTCTGGCTTATTTCGCTGAGCATGATCCCTTCTAGCTCCATCCATGCTGCAAACTGCATGTGTTTATCTTTTTTGATTGCTGAGTAAGGAATATTTTTATTCTTATTAGTTGGCTATAATTCAATTCCTCTTCATTTTCCTCCAAGTCCTCCTTTCTCAATGCCACTTATTTATAAAGTACAGCATTATTAATGTCGTCTTCGTTAATGTGAGGATGTTAGCGTTCATGTGGATTTTACTAAGTGACCATGCACCTATTGTTAGGAAATAACTGTGTGTATTGTTTAGACTGTTGACATGAAGAAAATTATGCTACTAACTTCAAATACTACAT